CATGATGTCTGTGATAATGTTATATGTCAACTTTGAGGATGCTTTTTTTTTTAAAGATTTTATTTATTTATTTGACAGAGAGAGACACAAGCAGGGGGAGGGGAGAGGGAGAAGCAGGCTTCCTGCGGAGCAGGGAGCCCGATGTGGGGCTCGATCCCAGGACCCTGAGATCATGACCTGAGCTGAAGGCAGACGCCTAACGACTGAGCCACCCAGGCGCCCTGAGGATGCTTTTGGATGACACATTTAAATCAATCAGTTGAAGGCCTGAATAGAACAAAAAGACTGGCCTTCCTGAGCAAGAGGAAATTTCTTGGACTTCATCTGCATCACTGACTCTCCTGGGAGATGAGCCTGCCAGCTCACACTGCAGATTTTGGGTCTGCCAGCTTTCGTAATTTTATGATCCAGTTCTCAATCTTTAAAAACTGATGAATCAGGGCGCCTGGGTGGCTCAGTCGTTAAGCATCTGCCTTTGGCTCAGGTCATGATCCCAGGGTCCTGGGATCGAGCCCCACATCGGGCTCCCTGCTTGGTGAGCCTCCTGCTCCCCCTGCTTGTGCTGTCAAATAAATAAAATCTTAAATCCTCAGGGTACAGGGGCCCTAGAGCCTGTTTTCAAACAGCTATCCTGAAGTTCCCAGGAAAATAAATCATCACTCTGACCTCGACGGGAGTTAAATACTAGAGGGCCCACCTTTACTCCACCATTTCTTCTGCTCTCCCAGGAGAAGAAAGCTAGGCACATGACCAGCCAAGCCACCAGGCAGTCGACACTGCACCTGTCACCAACTACGGCTGCCTTGAGAAGAATGCATAAAGCATGAGGGTTATGGGAAGTCCTACCTTGGAAATTCTTACCAGAATGTAGGGGTGTATGGGGAGTTGATAGACCGGGTTTTTTTGTTTTTTTTTTTTTAAATAGAGAAAGACCTTTCCTTTTTAATTTTTTTTTTAGATTTTATTTATTCATTTGTCAGAGAGAGAGAGAGCACAAGCACGGGGAGCTGCAGGCAGAAGGAGATGCAGGCTTCCCGCTGAGCAAGGAGCCCGACGTGGGACTCGATCTCAGGACCCTGGGATCATGACCTGAGCTGAAGGCAGTCGCTTAACAAATGAGCCACCCAGGCGTCCCAGACCAGGTCTTTTTTGTCAACAGCTTTTGTTTTCTAGCCTTTGTTTTTATTTTTGTCTTGAAAGTGCCTTGTGTTGTAGAGCTAAGTTAGGTAGAACTGAAATAAACTTTAAAAATTTGGGCTAATTTAGAAGCCATGTGTGGGTGCTCTACAACAGCTTGCTGAATTGATGAATCCCCACTGAGGTTTACTGAGGACTCCCCTGCCTGCAGATTAGCTGGGCAATTGGGCCACTTACTTCCCCTGGCATGTCTCTCCCACCTGTGAAATGGGAGTGGCAGTGTGGCAGGCAGGACAGACTCCAATTCTGAGACTCCACCATCTCTAAAATCTGATTCTGGAAAGAGGATCACAGAAATTTTTGTTCCTATATAACTTTGCCCCGCCTGGGTCCTAATACTTGACAGCAACATCTCAGGGACCCAAGACCAAAGCTGCTTACTTGCTCCTTAAAGTGGGAATAAAAATGCTGCTCAGAAGGGGTGGAGGTTAAAGTCCTTTACACACACACACACACACACGCGCAAACACACACACACACACTCTTCCAAATTTCAGTTTATATTGGCATTATGCAGACAGTGAAATGTTTCTTTTTTAGTCTTTACTTAAATATAGAGAATCTGACAATTGGAAGTCAAGCTGTCAAAAACTTTGCATGGAACTATTACCTAAATTAAAAATTTTGTGCTCAAAAAAGTCTATTCTGATTGACTTATAGGAAAATATAAGTATAAATAAAATATAAATGGAGGAGGAAATTGAAGCGAAAAAGTTTCAGTTGCTTATAGTTTGAAAGCCAATGCTGTGAGGAAAGGCAATGTTGCTTGAGCTCCCAAGATAAGGTGGTGGTAGTTCTGATCCTGATTAAAAAAGTGTTCCTGAAAAGGGATTGCCCTCCTAGGTCACGTGGGCAGGTGTGGCCGTGGGCAGAGGTGTGAGAAGGAACCCAAGGTTGGAGTCAATTCCAGAAGCTGGGAAAAACCAAGGGGTTTACTGGTGTAGTGCTCTTTGAGTGCAAAATGCTTACAGAAAATTGAATCATATTATGAGAACTTGATTCTCATCAGCATCTTAAATCCCTTTGATTAGATCAAGGATAAAGGGCTAAAGGGCTTTTGCTTTTGCCCATGAAGAATTAAGTGCTTTGGGAATTGCCTTCCTGCTGTAGTAAACACCTGGAAAAGTGGACACCATAGACGAGACAACAGTTTTCAGATATTGGACAATAGGCAGCACAGGACTTTTGTCCCTGAAAGGGAAACAAGGTCCACAACCGCCCCAGTGTAGTGCCAGGAGGTAGTATCCAGACCATAGCTTGGGAAGGGGAAACTGAACAGACTCCACTGGCGGAGGAGAGATCAAAGTTCAGGGAGGCCAAGATGGCTAGAATTTGTAAGGCAGAGTCCTGGACAGGAAGGAGCTTCGCAGAGACAGAGCAATAGAGATCTGCAGAGGGACCCCCTCAGTCTTGGCTGGAGTACTAATCTGCACGTGCATGGGAGGGAACTCCTCGAGGCCACGGCAGAACCGCCTGGGGTTTAGGCAGGGCTGTTGAATAGTTTCCGACATTCAGGATGGAAAGACCTCATAATATACTGGCATTGGGTGGAATTTTCAGGATAAATCCTTATTTTCAGCTGGGCGAGATTAACCTAAACTAAAGCTTCATTAGGCTCACCCTAAGAAAGTCTAAAAAACAACACTTGAAAGGATCCAACTGATCACAAGTAATTTAAACTGTGGGTAAGAACAGTCCACTGCTATTTAAGGAATACAACAAAATCCACCACCCAAAAATGTAAGTTTTATAACGCTTGGCATTCAAAAAAAATCAGACATGCAAAGAAGCAGAAAAATAAGACCCATCCAAAATTAGAAAAATCAATAGAAACAGCTCCAGGAATATCAAAGACGATGGAATACTATAATAGACAAGGATCTTAAACTACTACAAGTCTTAAAATATGTTCAGGTATATAAAGCAGGGACCAAGTACACATGGCCTATGAGCCAAATTTGGCCCGCTGCCTGTTTGTAAACAAAGCTTTATTGGAACACAACCAAGCTCATTCATTTATGTATCGTCTATTGCTGCTTCCATGCTACCATGGCAAAGTTGAGTAGTGATAAAGATTGCAAAGGGCTGCAAAGCCTAAGATACTTATTTTCTGAGTTTTTACACCAAATGTTTGCTGACCCCTGATGTAAAGGAAAACATGAACATGAGGGAAATGAAAGATATATATATGTGTGTGTGTGTGTCCCCAAATAAAACTTCTAAGGATGGGACATACAGTATTTGAAAAGTATACTGGATGGAATTAACATGAAGATGAATCTGACCTAATCTGTTTTCAAAGAAGCTCATCATCTGGTGGGATAGGCTGACTTCTTTGACGACAGAGGGGTGGAAAGTGTGTGGCTGGGTTAAAAGAATAGCAGTCTGCAATTCCAAATTCCTGGAGTTAAGGTGTGTACCAGGTTAAAATTCCTCACCAAAGGGTTGATGGTATTTGAAGCACCTTGCCCGGTTCCGGAGGTTGGAGCACAGGCCTACGGAGTGGACATTACTCCCTATCCCAGTGGCATGGCTGATGTTGGGAGCCCTGGTTTCAGTTCCGTTGTGGCTTTTTGATAGCACAGACTCTAGTTCCTCAAGCTCACGCTATTATCATCAGTGACACAAGTTGCTGATTTTGGACAATAGTTCTGTGCTAAGCCACCCTCAGAAATACGTTTTTTAAAGGTCATTACGGTCTGAAACCACGAATCATCAGCATGTCTAATTTCAAGCCACTTCCATATATGAGAAAAGAGGTTTATTGCTCCTTTGTTTATGTAATACTTCACTATGAGCCAGGCACTGTACTAAGGCTTCTACCTGGACTTCACTCATGATAGTACTTAGAAACCACCCACCTCCACCCTTTTCTAACTGAAGAAACTAAAGCAAGGGATAATTAAATAACTTGTTCAAGTCCACAAGGCTGGGGAGTTGGGATTCGAACTCAGGGGGATGCCAAGACTCGCCCTCTGGACTACTGTCCTGGCTCTTGTGTAAAGCACCTGTCCTAATTCCTGGTAAAACACTTGCCGCGAGACAGCCATTAATGGATCCCAGATTTTAACAGGACCGGAAAACTCTGTGAGGAGTTGGATTCCACCCCTCCACCCCCCAATTAGGGAACAAAATGGCTGAAGAAAAAAAAAACCAAATCAGATGTAGAAATTACGCTTTTTCATATATAATAAGATTCCATTTGCTCTTTAGGCAACAACACTTAGAATCTTTGGAAACATCTTACACAGAAACCCGGCAGTTTTTTCCTGATTTACTTCCTTCTCATGCTGCCTCCAATCACAACACTTAGATTTCCCAAATGATGAGGCCAAAACAATACATGTGGCTATGAGACCAGTGCTCTTTTCACAAATTCCCATCTTCGTGTCCTCTAAGCTTGTAAGTTCTGGTGCAAGAAAGCATTTTTGGCCAGGCAATTATTTAGTAGTCATGCAGCAGACACAGAACCAGTGATGAGAATTTTGGTCCATTTACTGCAGCAAGAAGTATAAAACATAATTCCCTTAGTAGTAGACTTTTTTTTTTTTTAAGATTTTATTTATTTATTTGACATAGAGAGAGATAGTGAGAGCAGGAACACAAGCAGGGGGAGCGGGAGAGGAAGAAGCAGGCTTCCCGCCAAGCAGGGAGCCCAACTGGGACTCGATCCCAGGACCCTGGGATCATGACCTGAGCCGAAGGCAGGCGCTTAACGACTGAGCCACCCAGGCGCCCCTCCTTAGCAGTAGACTTATAGTGGCATGACCTAAGAGGATAATGTGTATGGGACACAACAGCAATGTAGTATTTCAAATGTGTATTTAATGGCCATTCCATCACAATCAAGCAGAATCACATTTCAAAATATATGAAGTCTTATGTGTGTGTGTGTATACACATGCGTGTGCACAGACACACACACTTTTTTTAAGGTGCATTTTCAAGTTTTATTTGGGCTTCATTTCTTCTTGGCTGCCTCAGGTGTTCTCGCAGGTACAATTAGCATAGAACTTCTGAGGTTGATAGCTTCTCATGCACTGAAAGACAAGGTTCTAACAACATTGCACGTCTTGGGTATGTTAGAAATTCCAAAAGCCATATGTCACTTCAGAAAACTTAATACCAGTCATGAAACACATTATTCAACATAAAATTTAGGCACTCTATACTTTGGAATAACCACAAAATATTCCAACAAGAGTTAATGCACTTTGTGATTACTTCTACTCAAAGGTAATTCTCAATTAAAATCTGTAATTATTAAATAACATTTTTAAATCAGAGCCCATTCCATTTTGTTAACGACTGTGAACCATTTGCAGCATTGTGTTTTAGTTCAAAGATACTAAACTACTTCTATTACTGATCCTGGTCCTCATCTTTCATGGTACATTTTTTACAGAAGAACCTATAACATTCACTGATAAGCATCTCCCCCCGCCACCTCCTGCTAATACCTAAATAAGATTGCCTCTATTCAACTTTAAAGGTATTTTTGTATTTTCTGCTGCCGTTGCTTTCTTAGCATGTAAAACTTTAGCAAATGAGGGGCTTCCTGAAGATCAGGAAACATTAGTCAAGTTCTGATTCTTAGGCTGAGTTCATTTCCACAGTCACTTGGTGGCCAAGCATGCTGCTCCATCCCTATGTTCCTACAGTTTGTGCTGCTAGATTGACCAGTAGGGAGCCAAGGGGAAGGATGCTCAAAGTTGTCACTCCACTTTGCACAAGCCCAAGGCCACCCAGACCTCATCTGACTTGAGGGAAAACTTACTGATCTCTGCAGACTGGTTCTGGGGCTTATACCTGCTTGTCTGAAGACTGAAGGGGAGGCAATGATGCCTGCCTACTGAGATGCCATTAACTCCAGCTGAACTTCCTGGACTTGAACATGAGTTAGCACGGTTAGAATTCAGAACATGGATGCTAATTGTTCCTGTGGAGAACAAGGTGCATTTGCTCAGTGGTATACGTTTATGTAGCCAAGAAAACAACTAGAAAGCCTTCCAGAATTTTCAGATTACAGTCTGCAAATGGACTCATCATAATCACCAATGACTAGCTTATAAAGATCTATCCAGAGAAACAAATTTGAGACATATCTGACTCTAAGTCGTGCAGAAAAGAGCACAATAATTTCCCATAGGAGACTTGGGTGTTTCATCATGGGGATCAATGGTAAGTTAATTACACTATTAATGTTTTCTGGCATACCTGAAGAGACAATTAGCATAAGTAAATCATGAGTGAGATGACAAGTTGCTTAACATTTGTTTCTGTTCGTCAGAGGACATGTGAGCTTGCTGTAAGCCTCTTAGCGAGGAGGGATGGGCAGAGAAGGGCACAGGAATGAGAGGTGGTTAACTTCGGTTGCAGCAAACAGAATCAGAACCAGTTACTACTAGTGGCTAAACATGGATGTGAGATGCAAATCAGGTAAGACTCGTTCTAGGTTTAGAAATTCACCTCACCAAGAGGCTGAAGGTTGATTTGGATAATTCCCGTGACATCTAGCCGCCTCTCCTGAGCAAAGAGGGTGAGGGGGTAAATGAAGGTGGATTCTAGTGGAGGCTGCTTTTCATCCTCTCTCAGAGCTTCATCTTCCTATGGATACTCTACAACATCTATCTTGTGATTAGGACCCGGGGCTCAAGACAGCACAGTTAAGATTACAGTCCCTTTCTGGCGTTTTAGAATGGCCACAGCTTGCTCATGAGTAACACCTTCCAGCGTCTCGCCATTGACAGCTAAAATCTGATCGCCTCGCTTCAACTGGCCATCATCTGCAGCTGCTCCCTACAAACAAGAGACATTCCAGTTTAATCCAGGACCAAGCAGTTCACAAATAATATTAATATTATCGTGTGCTTATGAAAAGAGTAACATTAAAAGCTACCAGTTAAAAGTGATTTCTAGGTAATGTTTTTCAACCAGGAAAATTACGAATGTAGGATGTGTTACTTGAATAATGGTTGAATAGTAACCATAATTATGCACTGCTTAGGTAACATACTAGTAGACATGTACTCACATTCACATTTCTTTTTTTTTTTTTTTAAAGATTTTATTTATTTATTTGAGAGAGAGAATGAGAGAGAGCACATGAGAGGGGGGAGGATCAGAGGGAGAAGCAAACTCCCTGCTGAGCAGGGAGCCCAATGCAGGACTCGATCCAGGGACTCCAGGATCATGACCTGAGCCGAAGGCAGTCGCTTAACTAACTGAGCCACCCAGGCACCCCACATTTCTTTTAATACAAGTAGGACCTTATTTCAATATTCAGTATGGAATGGAATTTGAACGTCATATTCACGAATACATAGACACTGACAAAGGCAGAACTGAATCTGGTGTTAGTCTTATTGCCAGTAACATCATTACATAGGGTTCCCATTGCATTATTAAGATATTAGCACTGAGGTGATCTGTCAAAAATAAGTGTAGCCTCGGGCACCTAGCTGACTCAGTTGGTAGATCATGCAACTCTTGATCTTGGGGTCAAGAATTCCGAACCCCATGTTGGGTGTAAAGATTAAATAAATAAACTTAAAAAATAAATGCAGCCTCTAAAATGGAGTGAATTGTACTGTATGTGCGTTGTATCTCAATACAGTTGTTTTACATAAACATTTACATAAAATACACAAAGTGTAACATCTCTAAAATTTTGCAATATCACATTCAAAAGCTTCAACTTCATTTATCTTTCATCATTTAGGATTCTGAATGATTACTTTCATTATATACTCAGTCATGCATGGCTGCTCAAAATGGTACAAAGCAAGTGAAATGGGCTTTTTAAAATTCTAAAACCAAGTTATCTAAAAATACCGTGATATTACTAGAAATATTTTGGATGAGTAAGGAAAGAAAATAACCTAGGCAATGATTTGTAGGAGGCTTTCTCCTTTTGTTGGGGTAACTGTAAAAATCCCTTGAGAAATTAGTGCCGGGAGAGTCCCCTAAATGATGTTGAAGTGCTAGGGAAAATAATCGAGGCCCACAGTCCTGATGGACTCAGGCAGGAGCCAAACTGAGAGGCACTAATGCTCCAGAGACCTGTGTCTACCTGCAGTATGAAGGTCCTCAGGTGATGGGTGAATTATCTAGAATTTCAAAACTGTGAAAAGGGTGGAGTTCTGGTATTAAGGTATAATAAAGAATATTCAAAACCAGGTCTGTACTGGGGGCTAATACCAAAATTAAAAAACTTGTAACTTCATTCAAATCTTTTTTTTTTAAGAAAGTATGTTAACTGCAACACAGACAAGATTAAACAGCTTGTGGATAAAATCAGAATTACTTGGCTAACTTGATTTTATTAAATGTTACATGCTAAGATCTAAGGACTTTAGGAAACCTCAGATATTTGTGTACTTTTTTTGAAAAGCATATCCAGTTTTTTAAGTTTTCATTTTCAGTAATGCAAAAAAGGGTGACTTTTCAACTTTCTGGAATCTGTATATTTTTGCAGGTATTGCTGTGTTTACCCGGTCATTACTACTGACCTCTCCTGCTTGATCAGTGTGGCATTTGTAGACTAAGCAAAGGAAGAAATAAATGATTCACAGACAGACCTCCATCTAGTTCATAAATGTGGCTTTACTGACTTGCTGTGTCCCCAATTTGTCACTCAGCCTTCCCTAATACTGTAAAATAGGCATCTACTACCTACCTGTTGGCCTATTCTAAGGAGTGAGTGTATGGCACATGGTATTTACTCAATAATGGTGGTAGTGTGTGATAAAATAAACTCTCATGGTGATTGAGCTCATGTTTTCAGATTTCACAGTCTCTGAAAAGCTGTTCCCTAAATGCTCAGGATTGTTGTAGTCATTGTAAGCCAATGTCTTGTTGGCTTATGGTAAAATCTGATTGCTGAAAAGACTGAGACCTAAAGCTGGCTTTGACTTTGAAGTTTCCAATCAAACACCTGAAAGAAATGGAAGGTTCTGATAGACCGTTAATCAGATTAAGTCCCCAAAATCCTATACATTCAAAGTGCCTGTCATGCTTCCTATTTCTGGAGGGGAAAAAAAGACCTCGATGGGCCAAATTAATAGCTTAGTTGAGCAAGAGAATTATTAAAAGAAGCTTAGGGACACTAAGAAGGTCCCATAAAAACCCACACCCTGTGGGTATCTGAGATCCAGAAACTTGAGAAGACAAACATTTTTAAGAATAAATGATCGTTGCTGGGCGCCTGGCTGGCTCAGTCAGAAGAGCATGTGGCTCTTGATCTTGGGGTCATGAGTTCAAGCCCCACGTTGGGGTGTAGAGATTACTTAAGTAAACTTAAAAAAAGAGTGTATGTTCATTGTTTAAAAACATGGAAAACATATGGCGATAGTTCCTACATCCTCAAAATTCCTATGGAGGAAATGTTTAGCTTAGTGTCAAAATTCATTTTTAGAAGGATTTCACCATTAAAAAAAAAACAAAAACAAACAAACCAAAAAACTCTTCTGCTAGTTTTTGGTTTATTGAGTCTCTAAAGAAAACTTTTAAATTTGGATATATTGGTTCACTCAAACAAATGAAAAAAAAAGTCATCCAATGAGATATCATTATAATAAACACTATGGAACTATCTAAAACTAATGATAATAATTGTTTGCAGTGGCATATTCTTTTATTGAGACTGAACTAAGTAGGCTATTAGCTAGGGCTTTAGAACTTTTTTTTTTTTAATTCAGAGCTTTTCATTTTTAGGTGTTCCTCACTTTACAAACAAAGGTCCATTCCTTAAAAAATAAAACATATCAAGGATATTCAATATTTCCTCCTAGGTTACCACTTGCAGATGTGCTTTCTAAGTGAGCACTTTCAATGAGGACCTTTGAAGAGAGATTCTGTGGGAGCTTCCGTGCATTCATTATCCCCACTACTTTGTCCTGTGATCTGATGGTGGTTTCTTTTCAAAACCCACCAGCCATGCATGACCATTTCATTCTCAGCTGTATGTTCTGTGGACCTGACCGAAGGGCCTGCACCCGGTCCCACTGTCTGTGAGCTGTCTAGATGGGTACAGCTGGTGTGACTGCTAACTCTAGGCTGTAGGTCAAAAGGCCTGAGAAACTAACCAGTCCTCTGTTTGAACACAGCAGATCCACCTATGAAGTGAGCAGGGGATTACAAACATTCTGGAAGAGCTTTATGGAGGCCAAGGCAGGGAAGCAGAATGTGTTTTTCACTATTCTTACCTACATAGCTGGCTTTTGTAAAAAGCAAAGTATAATAATGCCCCCCCAAATAATTGTCACAACTACTTTGTTACATATATATATATATTTAAATATATCCAAATTTAAAAATGAAAATTATCACAACTACTGTTGTCTTAGGAAAAGGAGGGTCTGTATGTAGCTTACCACCTTGGGAATTATCAGACTGGGGCGGCACTGCTATCCAGAATGTTTCTGACCTGCCTTTCCTCTCCCCTTTTGCCCATCACCAGGTCAACAGGTGTGTGGTTTGGGAATAACAGGTCTTCTAAATAGGCACCCTAACAAATTGGAAACAGGTGGGTAAATCTGCAGCTGCCTACTGTGTTCCAAAAGGAAATGCCAAATGACTTAAGGATTATGTCAGGTCATAGTTAGGTTCCATTAACAGGTGGTAAGAGCTGCACAGGTAAAAGTGAACTTGCTATTTAGTGTATAGTATAGCTTTCTAGAAAGAGTATCTATCTTATTTCTTCTCTTGAAGACCTTTATTTCTTTAGGAAAAAGCAGTAGGAGGCCACTGGATCAATGAGTAAACAAATGACTGCGATAAAACCAATGAAGAATAAAGTTGCACTATCAACACTAAGTCCTTTTCAGAAATCTTCAAAATTTATAATAAAATTGAATTTCAACTTTAAAAATCACAATAAAGTTAAAAATAACTCATCTAAGGGGCGCCTGGCTGGCTCAGTTGGAAGGGCATGTGACTTGATCTCTGGGTTGTGAGTTCAAGCCCCACATTGGGCGTAGAGATTATTTAAATAAAGAAACCTAAAAACAAAAACAAAAACAAACCCTTACCTAAGAGCCATCTAGAGGCAGCGGTAGGAATTTATACCATGACCTATGTATCAAGTAGGATGTACTGCTATGTTTAGTTCCTGAGAAGCACTATTACGCAGTCAGGGTCTAATTTAGTGGCCTGATCCTGCAAGTACCTTAGCAGAGGCCTGGAATAGAGAGAGCAACTTAAGCTAAAGCATCCTGAGGTTACTGGTGACAGCCAGACATTAATGCGGTACCGACCCAAGGCCCGTACAGAGCTTTCTGCTCCCCGGCCCTCTGCTGTTATCTCTTCTTGAGGGAGAAAGCCAAACTTCTGTTCTAGCCCAGAATAATACTTCCAAGGCCAGCTTCCAAAGAGTGGGGAACTGCTCCTTATATCGTGTTCTTGAAAGAAGACACTCTTTTAAAATCTACTTTTGTAATAGGGTCCAAAGAAAATTACTCTTCCTGTAACTCCACTCTTATAAAAGAACTCCTCTTTCACTAGTCTGGTGTGGGAATGTCCTACACAAGGTTAAAATGAAATAAGCATATAAGCACACACCCAGGTAGAGGTAAAAGTAAGCAAGGCAAAGCACTTTAAAAAAAAATCTCACCTAGGTTTAATAAAAAAAAAAAAAGTACAGTAAAAAGGAAAAAAATACCTTTGCAAATATAGTCTTGACATAAATTGGCAGGTCTCCATGGGGACTTCCATAACCCCCTACAATACTAAACCCCAATCCTTCAGAGCCTTTCTCCAAAGTAATAATCTTAGGTGGAGGTGTTCTGAAAACACAATGCACGCTGTTTAATTCAAGAATAGATATTGAGAGGGAATTTCATTTTAATGGAAGAACACAGATTTGAGAGAGACTTTCATACTGCGAAACCATGAAGGCCAGTTTATGAAATCGAACTCTCAGAGAGCAACCTAGAAGCTTACTTTTACATTTCCCGTGTCACGCGGGACTGAGGAGCAATATGTCTTTAATGACTTGATGTTTTAGGGGTTTCTCTTTCGTAAAACTGTTTTTTAATGAAAAATAAAGTCATGATGCTGAGCTTGTCACAGCACCCTTCTATATGCTTAGTTTTTAACCTTGACACTTACTGTTTAAAGCTGAATGAGACTGTCTTTATATCCTTAAAGAAGGTGCGGGCAGACGGAGAGGTGGGCTTTCGCTTAGCTTAGGGGCAGACCGCCGGTCTGCAGGTGGGCTTCTGTGCAGGATAGGGACGCCAGCCGCAAGCTCAGCACACGGCTGCTCCTTTTCTGCCCAAGTAGCCCCATACACCTCGCCCACCACTTCCCCCTAGGGGACCCAGGGTGGGAACTCATTCTTCAAAGCCCCCCTTCCAAGGTGATGCTTTCCTTTGGGAGAGTCAGCCGCTCCTCCTTTGTATCCCTCTGCAGCGCGGCCAGATGTCCACCATGCGCTCGCTATACTGTGGTGTGCTGCTGAGTCATCTTTCTCCTCTACCAGACTACGAACTCCTTAAGTCTCTGTCACCTGTCACCTTTGTTCCCGGCTGTCTGCATTGTGCTTGTCACAAACTCAGGATCATGACGGTGTCCATGAGAAGGGAAATCCGGGAGAAAAGAGAGAAACCAAGGAGAAGCAAAATGGATAAAGACTGTCTGTTTCAAATGGGTAATTTAGATTTTCAAAGTTTCGTCCAGTGTGGAAGTCTTCTCTCTTAGAAATAACATGGCTAAAAATTAAATGTGGGCTCAAGTCGTTTAAGCTTAGCGAATGCCAATTTCTTATTCCCAAATGCCCTTGTCCAAAGGGTGAAAACCTAAAGGAACCCCGGAATCCCGGCACCTATCTTCCCCGTCGGGGGTTCATATTTACACACTGGGCAGGAAAGGGGCAGAGCTGTGTGGTATAAACTCAGCCGTTCATGGATTTAGAGAAATCTGCAAAACTGGGATATAAGCCACCTTTGCATACGCTGTTCTGTCTGACTAGAATATTCCTCCATCTCCCCCTTCCTCAATTTTGCCCGGCTTATTTTCGGGTGGATTTTCAGCTGGTTCACACCGATGTACTTACTGGTTGTTTACAGCAGGCAATCCATAGTAATTGCTGAACGTCCGTGTCATATAAATCATTAACTGTTTTCAATGCCACTCCTGCTTATTCCAATTCTTTTAAAACTCAGCCGAAGCGGTAGTGTCTCCAAGGACACGCCCTAACAGGGTTGTGCCCCACTTCCACGGTTTCACAGCACCCTGTGCTTATTTATCTCTCTCGTGGAACATGGCTCCCCTATACTTATCAACTCTTACAAACGTGGATTTATGGGCCTGTTTTCCCAATTCTCTGGCAATTCCTTGAGGACTGGGGCAATGCCTTCACCTGTTTTTTAAATTTGAATCCTCAGAGCCCAGTACGTGTACAGTAGCCGGCCTTCGGAAGGTGCTCAATAAAGATCTGCTGAAATAATGATGAATTATCCCCTACGGCCACACGGTAATGATGTCATGAACAAGGCTCCCCATTTCATGACTTCGTGGCCTTGTAAGTATTCTCCGTCATGGCGCACTGGCCAGACATGAATTGGATACATGGTTCCTCTTCAAACGCAGCCCCCTGTTTCTAAGGATACTGAAATAGGAATCTAGATGTCTGAAGTCACTGTCTTAGAGCTAGGCCCTGGGAGCCACCAAATCACTAGAGACCCTCGTAATTGTGCTTCTTCGTGATGAGAGACCTGTTTTCACGGGGAAAGGGGGAGAATGTAACTCCACTCCTCAGTTGGCAACCTCAGATGGAGTTTGCCTCCATTTATCTCACATTTTCAATCCGTTTTAATTTACTTTCATATAGAAGACGAATAAAAAAGAATCTCCAAATGTTAACAGCGGTTGGATTATAAATAATTTATAAATCCTTTTATGCTAGTGGTTCCCAACTTGCCAGGAGCTGTGGTTCCTAGCAAAGGAACCAAGATTACAAGGGCATCTCTGTGCTTCCATAGGGACATCAAAGGATGCTAAAGGTGAACCAGGTACTCTTCCTATAATAGGGTCAGGGCCGCTGTAACTTGAAAATATCGTAATTTTATGTATTTGTCATATTTTAATAGCATGCATTTATTACTTTCATAATGAGAGAGAGGTAAAAACGAGCTTAAGTTTAATATTCCTTCCTCAAGAAAAACAAACTCAAAGGTGTCATTTAAGCTGCGAGGTACCGGGAGAAAGTTCGAAATGTCTGTGACCAACAGCGCTTTCCAATGAAACATTCAGATCCGTCAACAAGCATTTACTGAGCACCTACTGGTGACCAGGCACTAGTGGTACGGAGAGGCATAACTTTAGGCAGCATTTCTGAAAATACAGATCCTCTGCCGATCGGTAGCAAAACTGCCCTGGGGAATCCACTGCAGACCACCTCATCAGAGTCTCTGAGAATGGGGCCAGAGAAATGAGCCATTTTACATATGCTCCGTGGATATTTAATGTGCACATTCCAGTGTGAGAAACCCTGCTTTCATGAACAATTGTAACAGCAATGATGGGTTTTAATGAAGAATCCCAGCAAGTATAACAGTAAGATTTAATCTCGGCACAAGATTTTAGTTTAGAACACACAGTTCCCTGCATAATACAGCAGGGTGCACCTGGGCTGTGAATCTGTGATTTCTTAAGGAAGAAGGAACCGTGTCAAAGTAACCAGGTGCAGTGTGTGTGCAGGCCCTTGACAGTAGTCTCTTAGGAGGTTCTACGTGGAACCAAGCCTGGTGAGAAATCAGGAAACCTTGGTGCGTTCCTGGAGATTCTCTAGGAGTGAGGAAAGGTAATGTGTACTTCATCCCTCTTCTTCTCTAGAAAGCACACTCTAGATTCTGGAAAGGTCTCGCTGAGCCTTGCCCACACACGTAATAGGCACTGTGCATCTCGAATACTCACTCTGTGTCTTCTGGATGGTGTTCAGCAGCGGGAGAACCAAGGTGGTAGCTTGTAGACATGTTTTCAAGCTGAGTTGCTATGGCGCTTATGTTGGTATCTGCTACAACCTGGGGGAAAATCAGAACAAGAAAACCCACTGTAAGTCCGGGGAGAATTAGAGAAACCACACGATCTTCAATGGTTGGTTCTCATCCTCATCTGACTCAACCTATTTGCAGCATTTGACACAAATGGATTATTCTCTCAAACTACTGTCTTCATTTGGCTACCATGACACCATACTTTCCTAGTGTCCTTTCTATTTCCTGAACCTCTACGGGAGTGCCACAGGGCTCCGTCCTTGAGTTTCTTATCTCTCCCATCTAAACCTCCTCTTAGTTAGCTCATCTTATCTTGTCTCACCCTACTTGATCATCTAAATACCATCTCTGTAATACCAATCTATGTAATGATAATTCCTGAATCTGCATCTCCATACCACCTCTTAACTCCAGATCTCTCTATCCAATCACCAGTTAGTGGGATGTCCAGCAGGTATGTCAAAGCTAACATGCCAGGACTGAGCCCACTCCCTCCGACCTCTGCTCTGGTAGTCTTCCTCATCTCAGGTAACTACAGCTTCATTCTTTCAGTTTCAACAAATGCCTCAGTGTCGTCCTTGACTACTCTCTCACAACCCACATTCAGTTCTCATAAAATTCTATTGGTCTTTTTTTTTTTTTTAAGATTTTATTTATTTATTTGAGAGAGAGAGGGAGAGCACAAGCGGAGGAGGGGCAGAGGCAGAAGAAGCAGACTCCCCGCTGAGCAGGGAGCCCGATGTGGAACTCGATTCCAGGACCCTGGGATCATGACCTGAACCGAAGGCAGACGCTTAACGACTGAGCCACTAGGCGCCTCTCTATTGGTCTTTCTACAAAATCATCTCTTGCCTGGAGTTCTACAAAAGCCCCCTGGCTGTTCTCTTTGCTTCAGCCCCTCCCCGACTCATTCCATAGCAGCTAGAACGGTCCTGTTCAAACACAGCAGATGATTTCACTCCTCTGCTTAAAACTGTCCAAAGGAAACCCAGCTCCCTAAGGTCACAAGTTTAAGTCCTACTATGACCCACAAGGTCATCTGCGGGTAACCTGCCCAGTTATGTCTCTGCTTTCAGCTCTTAACATTTTCCTCTGCGGCCACGGTGTTCCAGCCACACTGGCCTCCTTGCCGTCCCTCTAACATGCCGGGGGCGTCTCCACCTCAGTGCTCCGCCGGTGCTCCACCTTCTGTCTGGAACACTCTGCGATCAGCATCTGCACGGGTGGCTTCTTCACTTCCCACAGCTCCTTGGCCACTGTAACTAAAATTTCCACACCAACACTCAGCCCAACATTTCATACCCTCCTCTGCTTTGTGTTTCCTTCTCACCACCACTACTGTCTAACAAACTTCATCTATTTTACCTTATTTATCTTATTGTCTGTCGCATCACATTAGAGTGCGAGGGCAGGAAGCTTGTCTGTTTCAGTCACTACTGTATCTTCATTATGTACAACACTGCCCAGCATGTAGATGCTCAAATAATATTTGGTGAATGAAAGAAAGAATGAATGACTATCTCTGATTCCCTATTGTTTTTTTTAGATGGTTCCAAACAATAGTGCATGACAGGTAAACATCCACTTTACATTTGTAACCTGCAAATAAATTCAAAAGCATTCAAAAGAAATATTGTATGGCTGTGACAGCTCACACTGGGACACAGAATGAGGTTCTGGAGTTCAGTTTCTGCCATTTAAATGGTGCTGTGCCTGAATTTCAGCTTTCTCATCTGTTGAACGGGAATCATAAAAGCCTGCCTTGTATGCTTAGCCTGGAGATGCCGTCCATCTCCACTAGTTCTGAGCTGCTTTCTCCAGAGCTCCCGGGCTACTCCTCGTTCTGACCGGTGGTTCTTCTTCTAGGTTATAGTCGTCAGTGCAGAAGTACAGAGTGAGGCACCTGACACCAATGCCAAGAACTGGATTTGGCTGCAGTTTCAGAAAGAGCCAACAGAGGGCACGGCTGCCTAAACTGCTAAGTTTAGCTGCAACTAGCAGATTAACAATAGTAACAATAGAGTTTTTACAACAAGGAAAGCAAGGGCCAGCCCTGGCGAGTCAGAACACATTTTGGTGAAGTATCCTATTCTGGGGGAAAACACAGCTGTGTGCAAGTTATGGAATCTTCTCGAAATACCATCATATACAGAATGGCTGAATGAACTGGGCAAATATTTAGGATAAGAGACAAAGGGGAAAAGATAGACTTGCCTTGACCACAAGAGCCCCTCCGCTTTCCATCAGCCCTTTCTGTACTCTCCCCACAGCTAGTGTATCGGAGAATTTGTCTTTGCATATGACCTCCTAGTCTGATATATCCAATTGTCAACTTACCATCTGCATTAACCAAATTCAAACTTTTGATCCAACAACCATTTTCTCATTCATTTTCCCCCTTAGTAGATGGCACCTCTGACTACCTGATTAAAATGTGCTAGGTATAAGATTGAAAATACTTTTTTTTCAAATATTTTTAAAGATTTTATTTATTTGACAGAGAGAGACACGGCGAGAGAGGGAACATAAGCAGGGGGAGTGGGAGAGGGAGAAGCAGGCTCCCCATAGAGCAGGGAGCCCAATGCGAGGCTCGATCCCAGGACCCCGGGATCATGACCTGAGCCAAAGGCAGACGCTTAACCCACTGAGCCACCTAGGCGCCCCAAGATTGAAAATACTTAATTGCTCACTGGTGACGACTGTCTAACTAGAAAGGATGCCGGGATGCTAACCACACAGGTGCTTACTGAGTATCAACCTGATACATCATCCCTCTCTCACCTGCCATATGTAATCCACCACCAAGTCTTCTGGATTCTCTCTCTAAAATGCTTCTCAAATCCGTTTCCTTTTTGCTTCTGTGGTGACCATCCTAATCAATTCATCATCATCATCTGCCTTTTAACCGGCATCCCCACTCATCCTCTTCCAATCTCTCTTCTATACAATAATAGCCAGTTATCTTTTTCAATATAAAATGGATAATGGCAATCCCCTGCTTAAAACCTTTCGGTGGTCTCTCTCTGTACTTAGAATAAAACTCAGACTCCCTAATTATATACACAAAAGTCCTCCCCTAGGGCGCCTGGGTGGCTCAGTTGGTTGGGCATTTGCCTTTGGCTCGGGTCATGATCCCAGAGTCCCGCATCGGGCTCCCTGCTCAGCGGGGAGTCTGCTCCTTCCTCTGACCCTACCCCCTCTTGTGCTCTCTCTCTCTCAAAAAAAAAAAAAAAAAAAAAAGTCCTCCCCTAGCCTGCTCCTCTAATCTCATCAGTTTCCTTCCACTCCACTCCACATTCCAGTTCTCTCTGCCCACAATCTGCTCCCCCCCCCAAAAAACACCAGTTGGCCTGGTATCAGCTTACAAGTCACATTCCTTATACAAGCCTTCTTTACTACTGGTGCTTAAATTAATTTCTCTTGTTTTCCTCTCCATAGCACTCCCAAAATCTTTCTCACAAATTTTGATGATACATATTTCCGTGACTGCTAACGGGTCTCCCCCACCTCCCCATCACAGGATTCATGAGGATAAGGACTGCTTCTTGGTATGAACATGCCTGGCACGTAACAATTGCTTAATGAGTATTTGTGGAGTGAATGAACCCAAAACCTTCCTAAGGAATAGGGATTATGGGACTCAGTTTTCTGAATTTCCACAGAACAGAGTGAGACTGATAGAGGTTACAAGGAGATTGGTTTTGGGTCCTTTTAAGGAGAAAAAAACTCTGGTCAGGCCGTTACAGAATGGAACGGCACAGCTTGTTAGAGCATGAGCATCCTGCCAAAGCAAGCATTCAAATAGAGGCTCAAAATCTATCAATTTGGGATATAGCAAAGGGGATTCCTATATTTGGTGGGAATTTGGACTTGTACTCTCAGCTGGCCATAAACAGACTCTCCATTATGGGGCTGAAGAGGAAAGTCGATAAAATATTGTTTTCTCTAAGGTACCTTCAAAAGCCAAGTTTTGATCGCAACCTGCTCCTTTCTTTGCCCATTTGTTCAACCTATAACAGCGCCACGACTACTGAGTATCAACTGAGCACTTACTTTATGCTAAGCACTCTCCTGAGTCCCTACAGAGGTAGGTACCACTATTATTTCTGTATTTTAGACAGACGAACCTGGAGCTGAGAGGTTAAGTAACTTTCCCAAGGTCAGTTAAGGAGTGAAGGCTGGTTTCACTTCCGTGTCATTTCACTCTAGAATCTTGTGCTCTTAATCATACGCAATGTTAGGGTACAGACCTGGTCTCGGACTCTCACATCAGGCAATTGGACTCACGCTGCATATAGTTAAGTACAGTCTAGACATGACAGTCAGGGAGGAAGAGGGGCAGAGAGATAGTTGAACAAGCAGTTGCAAATAGAGCAGACAGTCATGGCGTGTGGTTGACAGCAGGCGGGAAAACTCCCTGGCTCTCACAAGGTATTATAAGAAGAGGGCTCAGGGCATGGGAGATATATGCCCATGGATGTTCTAGAAGGATCTTTTTTTTTTAGCTTTTAGAAAGAGAATACACTTTCAAGAGTCCATGAAATCAGCCGTATAAATTGTGAAACCACAGTCACAGTTTTATTTGGGTAAAAATTAAATTTTTTTATCTAGCCAGAAAATATAAAAACACTTCTAACAGCACCATCTTACAGAAAAACTCACATCCCTCTAAAATCTGAAGGCCTCTTGCTTACCCCCAACCCTGAAATAAAAAGGGCCTCCCAACCATTGATGATATTAAATCCAAGGGGCTTACCTAGGATCCTTGGAGTTGTTCAAGCTCCTATTTTGTAGGAGTGGAAGCCAAGAAGCTAGATGGGAAATGTGAAGGATTTTCACTGATGGCTTAGTCTTTTGTAGGAAGACAAGGAGACCATAAACCCATCACCCCCAGAATGACTTTATAGCCCCAAGGTGTCTCCATTAACCATCATTAACCACCTTCGTCTCAGAGTTGATTGGTCTTCCCAGGGATAGATTTGTGAAAGGTGATACTCTGATCTATCTCGGAAGGATGTATATGTTCA